GACGGCGCCCTGGGGCAGCCCCCGCTTCTCCCGCGGGTATTCCTCCTTCCTCTCCTTTGGCTCGCTCTGATAACGCTTTTGCTGACAAGACGCTCAACCTTGTCACATTTCTAAGAGTTTACAGCTGGGCAAGTTGTGAAATCAATGTCTGACTTTGTCGGGCGCCCGTACGCGCAGCTGATCCAGGTCGCCTCCGAAGAAGATTTGCTAACTCATTGCTCTGCCAAAGTTCGTGCATTGGAATCGCCAATAGAAAGGGGACGTTTTACAGCCTTAATGATTTTTTTATCCACTCCTCTTTTTTATTGGCATGTTTCGTCCTCACCAAAGAGAACCCTTATCAGCCACAGCACAAGTCCAGCGCACGTCAGCTAAATCTCCCCCTTCTCCGAGCACGGCCCCGGCTATCTGCAGCCCCATCTGCGAGATGATCAAAGAGGAGAGGTTTCCACCCAGAGACTCTGTCCAGCGGAAGAGGAAGCATTAAAGGCTGTGGCTCAAACAAACGTTTACCAAACATTCTGTGTTCCAAACACTCCCGTTGTTCCTTCCTGCAGCTCTGGGTAAAACACCAGCAAGACGCCCGGTGGGTCCCACGGTACAGCGAGAAGAGGCCAAACACCCCTGTCCGGTGCCAGGGCCTGCCCAGCTCCGCCGGTGCCAGCCCGCGCAGACGACCGAGAGCCAAGCGTCCGTGCAGATCCCCGTCGGTTGGCCGCATGCTTACCCGGCGTCGGTGGCAACCACCAGCCCACGCACACACACAACCCTTGCCATGCTGCGGCAGAGAGCACAACCCCGTCACGGTGGCGCAGCCGGCAACAGGGCGAGCACCGGGAGCCGAAAGCCAGGGAGGACTCTGAGCAGAGCCCAGCAACTCGATGCTCTTGGAGGACACCACACGAGCAGCTTAAGAAGACCCCAGGCTGCCAGCTTCCCCACCCAGGATTTCAACCTCCCCCCAAAAAGTGACCCGCTGGGAGAAGGACGGCATTGGCCCGGAGGGGCACACGGAGCCTACAACCCACCTTGTCCATGTGGAAGATGAGGTCCAGCTCACAGACGTTCTCAAAGCACTTGTCCAGCGTCTCCACAAACACCTGAAGTGGCGGGAAGGGAAGGTCAGCACAGACCATCGCGAGATGCTTCCGCACACAGCCCCGGGCCCACAGGCAAAAAAAGCCGCAGCCCCCACCAGAAACTTCTCGCGCCCTAGGGCGTCCCCCTGAGTGGGGACAAAACCCTCTCAACCAGCCCCTCTCCCTCCGACGGCGGGGAAGCGCCTGTTCCCAGAGCAACCCCAGGCAGGTCCAGCCCGGGGGCTGACCGGGACCCCCCAGCACCGTGCCAGTCCTCGCTACGCCACAGAACCCGAGAAGCCCAGACCCGCCATGGGGAGAGCTCGGCTCGGCAGGGGGCCGGGGCTGGACGAGCGCCTGGCCCTGCTGCGGAGGGAGGGCACGGGGGGTCCAACTGGGCAG